CTATCAAAAAGGTTTAAATAAGAAAATTCAATAAAGTTTCAGGATATAAAATCAGTATATAGAAATCTTTAGGCTTTCTTTATACTAATAATGAACTAATAGAAAGAGAAATTAGGAGAACAATCCCATTTACAAGTGTAAAAAAAATAAAATACCTAGGGTAAATTTAATCAAGGAAATGAAGACCTGTATATTGAAAACTATAAGATGCTAATGAAAGAAATTGAAGAAGACAGATAAATGGAAAGATATTCTGTGCTCATGGATTAAAAGAATTACAATTGTTAGAATGTCTGTACTACAATATAGCAATAAAGATTCCATGCAACCCCTATAAAAATGCCAATGGTATATTTCACAGAAATAGAACAAAACAGTTCTCAAATTTGCATGGTATCACACAAAAGACTCCAAATAGCCAAAACAATCTTGAGAGAGAAGAACAAAGCTGAAGATACCACATTCTCTGATTTCAAACTATATTACAAAGCTAACTTAATAAAAACAGTATGATATTGGCATAAAAAAAGACATAGCTCAATGGACAGAATAGAGAGCCCAGAAATAAACCCGTTCATATATGGTCAGTTAGTTTATGACAAAGGAACCAAGAATATACAATGAGGAAAGGACAGTCTCTTTAATAAATGGTGTTGGGAGAATGGACATCTACATGCAAAAGAGTGAAACTGGACTACTATCTTACACCATACACAAAAATTAACTCAAAATGGATTAAAGACCTTAGTGTAAGACCTAAAACCATACATCTCCTAGAAGAAAACATAGGTGTTAATCTCCTTGACATAGCTATTGGTGATGATTTTTTGACTCTGACACCAAAAGCAAAGCAACAAAAGCAAAAATGAGTGAGTCTACATTGAACTAAAAGGCCTCTGCATAGTGAAGGAAACCATCAACAAAAATGAGAAAGCAACCTACTGAGTGGAAGAAAGTATTTGTGAATGATGTTTCTGGTAAAAGGTTAATGTCCAAAATCTAACAAAGAACTAATGTTGAAAGCAATGTTGAAAGAATGTGTGTGCGTGGGTGGGTAGATTGATGTTGAGTGATTAGCCAGTCTCTCCAAGTTGTTATCTTTGGGCTGAGAATCGGATGACAGAAGGAGCTAGGCATGTGAAGATCTGGGTCTTCAGGCAGAGCACAGAAGCACAAAGTCCTCTAGGCTGAAATAAGTTTGTCTTATCCAGGGGACACAAGGTGAGAGACAGGGTTAGTAAAGCTCAATGAGATAGGAGAAGTGAGAGTGGCCAGCTCACTTGTTAGGTCATAAGAAGGTTTTATTATGTGTGTTATTGGAATCCATTGCAGGACTTGAAGCAGGGAAGTGACATCATCTGATGCATGCCTTGAAGAGAGAGTCACTGTCTGTGCTGTTAAGGCTGAATTGTCAGGCAGCAGATGTGACAGTAGAGAGACCAACAAAAGGTTTTGTGCTGAAGTCTAGACAAGAGATCGTGGAGCTTGCAACCAAGCTGGTGGCCCTGGGGAGTAGGCAGATTTGACATGCGTGTTTGGAAGTATAGTTCACGAGTATCAGAACTGAGGGAAAGAATTCTTCAACAATAAAATGAGGGAAATGCTTGTCACAGGATGTTATCACAGGAGCTAATGCTTGTCAAGCATTTGGCATTCTTGTCAGAAAACAGAGCTTACTAAATGTTAGCTACTTACCATTATTATTGCTATTTTTATTGTCAGGAATAAGGCATGTACTTTAAGCAAAAAGAATTTTTCTGTAAGAAATTTTCTGTAAAAGTTAAATTATACCTTTTGTACAACTCTCAGTTTGGGAGTCTCTTCTAATAGCACATACCGTTTTGTTGGTAAAGATCAGAGTATTACACTGTCTTGATTTTTAGCAGCCTCTCTTGGATCAGAGAGAGATGGTTCATTGGTTTTTCTTTTGTGCTTTGTAACACTCAGCCATAAAGATATGTATAAGTAGCAACATTATTCCTTTTAAAAATTGTGACTTAACTTTTTTTGACATGTGCTAGCTTGGTGGAATGGGACACTGAAAATCTTGTGTGGGTGTGTAATGGTTTCACTTAGAAGCTATTTCCTATGAGTTAATTTATAGGTAAGTTACTGTATAGTCAAATTCTGTGTAGTTCTTTGAACCAGTCCTAATTATTATTTTTATTTTGGTTCTTTAGACCCCCCAAAAAATCAATTGCAGAGATAATTGCTACAAACCTTGGTTATGAAATAAAGGCCTTGTATGACCATCATAGATAATGAATTCTCTTTATGTATAAAAAGTAATGCATATGCATTAAACATGGATAGAGTGGTTCATGACCAGTTATGAATTGTACTTAATAGTACAGGTAGAGTACATGTTTTGATAAGCTTTTTATGTATGGTTTTCTAAATTAGAGTACTTTAGGGGATTAATTTTCTTGTGGGTAACACTGATTTAATGCATTTTAATACAAAATCAAATTAGATGATTTCATAGTTGACACATAAAATGTATCTTTACTGATTTTGGCTGTTCACCTCCACCTTTTTAAACTTGTATGTGTACACATACATATATTTTATGCACAGTTATGTTTTATGTAATAAGAAAAGATAATGAAAAAGAAGAAAATATTCCATATTTCTACTACCTAGTGACTTAGTCTCATTTTCTGTCTATATTTCAAATGTCATATTTTTTCTCCTATATTTTGTTTTATATATTCGCAATCCAAAAGGCTAATTGAGGGACTTCCCAGGAGGCCCAGCAGTTAAGACTCACACTTCTACTGCAGGGAATGCAAGCTTGATCCCTGGTCAGGGAACTAAGATCCCACATGCAGCATGGCGCAGCCAGGAAAGAAAGGATGGGAGGGAGGGAGGGAGGGAAGGTGGAGAACAACGGAAGGAGAACTCACTGATACATGTTGGAATCTTTTATAATATTGTGTGTGTGTCTGTGAGGGTGGGCGGGTGGCTAGTCTATACCTTTTTTTTTTTTTTTACTGTGATAAAATATACATTTTAAGTTTTTATTTAAGCAGTTTAAAAATAAAATGCCATTTTCGCCACTTTAAAATATATGGCTCAGTGATATTAAGTCCATTCACAGTGTTCTAGCATTCTTTCAGTACAGATGATTTTATTCAGAAACTGTCATTTTACATTTATGTAACAGAATATTATTGGGCATCTAATCTCCATGATTTTCTGTAAATAATATTATGATAAAATTCTTGATGCAAAATCTTTGTCCATGGATAAATCATTTTTTAAATGATAAAAATTGAAAAGTGGTATTTTGAGTCAGAGAGTATATTTGTTTAAGCCTATTCATGATAATGCTACATTTTTTTCTAAAATGTAGTACCGTGAGACTTCCCTGGTGTTCCAGTGGTAAATACTTGCCTTCCAATGCAGGAGGTGCGGGTTCAATCCCTGGTCAGGGAACTAAGATCCCACATGCCTCCAGACCAAGAAAACAAAACATAAAACAGAAGCAACATTGTAACAAATTCAATAAAGACCTTTTAAAAAATGATCCACATCAAAAAACTGTAAAAAAAAAATGTGGCACCAGTTCATATTCACGTTACCAGTGTGAACACAACTCCATTTCACCACTTTCTTGCTGATACCAAGCATTTTTGTTTTTACTTCATTTATTAGTGAAGAAAGGAAATTAGTTCTCAAACACTATTAGTGCACTAATTAGAGAAATGTAAATTTGCATGCAGGCTTTATTTAAATCTATAAAGCAGGAGACTTTTTCTTGGCCTACTTTCCTGGAGTGAATGAATTTCTAAAGATAGTGTAAAGGACATATATTGAAATAAATCCTTTTTTGTTTTCTATTTTCTGCATAATTCTCATTTATTTAGTTAATATATGCATAAAATGAAAGAAGATATGACCATTACTGCTTTCCAGTGTTAAAATGTCATTTTCTAACAACATTACATGGTAAGTAATAGCATGGAGGCAGTGATACCTAGCTGGCAAATCCTAATAAAATGTAAAGTAGGAAAGGAAAGATCATTAATAAAAGTATTAAGCTGGTAAAGATAAAAATGCTAATATTTTCAGTAATCTTTTTTTTTTAACCCATTGCAGTGTAGTTTAAAATTTCATCACAGTACTATGATGGCCTTCAAATTGTCAAAATGGCTATTTTTTCCCTTTTCCATTATCTCACTAAATCCTCATCATGCTGGACTTGGCATAATGTTGTTGCCCTTTAACATCCATAGTGTGTTTTCTTGGTATTTCTTACCATTCTCAGTGTTTGCCTAGTCTGTACAGTGCTTTAGATTTTTTTCTGGCTCTTCTAACAACACCCTCCATTAACACTATTTTTCTGTCTGAAAATTGGGATGCTTTTCACCAGTGTTCTGGTTCTGTATTTCCAAAAGCCTGTATTCTCACTTGTTTGTCATAAAATTCCCTCAAACTCAGTAAATCCAACTTTGAATTGTAACTACACATTCATTTAGTTTGGGTACCAGTCCCAAGAGTAGATATTATGGCATTATCTTAAGCTCTTTCTTTGCAAATAGCTTGTAGCCAAACTATCACCATGTATTTCTGATATCCGTATATTCTTCTCTGATTTCCCTAGTGTAATGTTAAGTGCTGTGCTTTGTCTTAGATTTGATTTTCATTGGTATTTAAAAATACAGAAATGGATTTTATGCATCTGATTTTGAGAGGAAAGTGAATGCCTTGGACAGGAATTTTGCCTCATTCATCCTGCATTTCTAGCATGTAATAGGTGTTGAAGAAATGTTTTTGGAAAGAATTACCCAAACTAAGGGAAGAACTTCCTTAGTTCTCAGTTCTGTGAGATGAGAGAATCTATTTGAATGGCATCTTTTTTTTTTAATAACCTTTTTGCTGTAGAACATAGTACTTCAGTTGTTCATATTTGTTGATATCATTGTTAAAGGAATTCTAGTGGTTCTTTTTACAAAACTGAATTTACAATATAAAATATTTTCCCTCTTTCTTTTTAGGTTTTGGAAGAAAGGACGTGGTAGAACACTTACTACAAATGGGTGCTAATGTCCATGCTCGTGATGATGGCGGTCTCATTCCACTTCATAATGCGTGTTCTTTTGGCCATGCTGAGGTTGTGAGTCTGTTACTGTGCCAAGGAGCTGATCCAAATGCCAGGGATAACTGGAACTATACCCCTCTGCATGAAGCTGCTATAAAAGGAAAGATCGATGTATGTATTGGTAAGTATTATTTGATGATATCTAAATTGTAAGGTCAACCCCACAGATAGAATACATTTAAAATAAAGGTTTACCCTTCCTTGTTTTTTATTGTAGTGGGAATAATGTTTCCTCAGAATAAAGAACACTTTGTTACTGCTTATAAGCAATTCTTTTCCGTCAAAGGGGAAGTAGAGAGATGGAAATCTAAAGTTGGTTAGGAACAAGATTCACAATATTAACTCTCCAAATGTAAGGCAAATGCCAGCTGGTGTGGAACTAAATTTTGATGGATTACTATTATCAAATTTAGTTAATTTACAGTCTTTTAAAGTCTAAAAGTTTCCTATCCTAGCATCATTGAGAACCACTATAAAGTACAAGTTCTTACTGAATTGGATGACATATTTGGATGTTCAGGTTGATTCAAGGAAAGTCATCTAGTACTAAGGCAAAACCTTTTTCTTTATGTTGCTAAAATTGAACACCAGCTATTTTATTAGCCCTGGAAAAGCTTTGAGTGATTCAAATACAACAGTTTAAGGCTTAATATTTTCAAGAGTCTAGAGAAAAAGCAATTTCAAACAAAATTGAACTTTTCAATGATTTTAAGTATTGCGATTATATGAAATTGTATTCAGTCAGCATTTCTTTCTCCTTTATATGTATATCTAAATAGGCATCTATTTTAGACTTTGCTTTATTGCGTAAAATCTTTCATTTTGAAATCTAAAACAGGCTTCTAGAGAACAAGCATAGTGTCTCCTGAGTGTATCATCTCTTTCTTGAAACCCAAGATGATGGATATTTGTTTAGCCTTTGGCAGATTGATTTACAAATTATCTTCTTGAATGGCACCCATCTCAGTATAATTGGCTATTTTTCTGATAAAACTCAAATAAATATGTCACATTTAAAGATACAGAGGTGGTGCCATTATTAAGATTGTCTCCCACTTCATAGCCATCTATTCCAACTTCAAATATATTTTTTAGTTTTCTTCAAATTATTGCATTGTCTGACAAAACTTCTTTATCCTATTCTCTGTCATTATCCTTTATCACTTCACTAGCCAATTTTACCAAATGAAATTCAAGGTCATTTCAACATGACCCTTGAATTACCCTATCCTTTTTGACCTTTGACATCTTCCACTTACACTTGATTCTCCCATTTCCTCCTAAGTCTCTCATAAAACAGCCATGTCCTAGACTAAGTCATTCATAAAAGTAATCTGAAAAGCTTGAGTTTACCACAGATTCTCTGATTACTAAATCTCTTAAGTTATTTGTGATAAGTTACTATGTGATATTGTTATTGAATTTGACGTGTACTCTTACCAAATCTTCTAGACCTTCAACTTCCCTACTCTCATTCTTTCTTGCTTCACTTTGTCACATCCATTAGATTTCTCTGTTGTTAGTTACAGAATTTTACACAATTTTCACCTTTTAATGTATTATCTCTTTTAGGCTGAAGTGTTCTATTTTCCCACCTGTACCTCTTGAATTTTTCATTCTGTCGCTGCTTTTAAGAAAATTTCCTTTTATGTTGTCTTTGCGAGATTGTACTTACCAGTAAACCACAGATCTTAAAAAATCATACTGCTTTATTATATTTGACTCTTTAGAACCCTTTACATAATAAGAGGCATTTATTATGTATTTTTAACTTTTTGTTTTGAAATAATTATAGATTTATAGAAAGGTCCAAAAATAGTACAAGAAGGTCCATGTATCCTTCTCCTAGTTTCACCCTTTGGTTACTTCTTACTGCGTCATAATACAGTATCAAAAATAGGAAATTAGTGTTGGTACAATGTGTAGAGTTCTGTGCCATTTAATCACATGTTCAGATTCATGTAACTGCAGTCAAGATACAGAACATATTATTGGAAGCTCCCCCTCATTCAGTTTATTTATGAAAGAAAGTGAAAGTATTAGTCACTTAGTCGTGTCCAGTTCTTTGTGACCCCTGTAGCCTGCTAGGCTCCTCCATCCATGGGATTCTCCAGGCAAGAATACTGGCGTGGGTTGGGTTGCTGTTCTCTTCTCCAGGGGATCTTCCCGACCCAGGGATGGAACCCACATTTCAGGCAGATTCTTTACCATCTGAACCACCAGGGAAGCCTACTTATAGCCTACTTCTATAATGATCTACTCCCGATCCCAGATCCTTAACCCTTAGCAACCAATAACATGTTCATCTGTATAATTTGTCATTTTGAGAATGCTATAAGCAGAATCATACAGTATGTAATTTTTTTTGAGATTGGCTTTTTTTTTCTTATTTGCCTTCCAGATCTTTTTTAAAATTGCTGATTATTATGCCATGGTTTTGATGTAATGTAGTTTAGCATTCACAACTGAAGAATGTTTTGGTTGTTTCCACTTCTTGGCTGTTACAAATAAAGCTCCTGTGAACGTTTGTGTACAAATTTTTATGTAGAGATGAGTTTTCTTTTCTCTGAGATAAATGCTTTAGAGTGTGATTGCTGGGTAATACAGATACTCCTATATTCATATACAAATATAAAACATTTTATAGTCAGATATAAACTATGTTTAGGTAATCGACTGTTCGTTAAATCATTGTTTTTCTTCATTAAGGATGGGTTGTTGAATGTTGGTCCTGAGCATGCATTGAATTCTGGTTATGGAATGTCTATAATGAATGGACTGTCAAACATTTTTTGTTGGTACTTGTAGATTAAACCCATGAGTTCTGTCATGAATTGAGTTGAGATAGGGAGGGAAAAGAAAGAAAAAGGTGATGCTGGTAAATCTACCAAAAAATTGCTGTTGTTAGATGATATATAATTCACTGTTTTCCTTTGAAGGCAACTCAAAGTACTTAACCAAAGTTCTTCACTAATGTTTATATCCTATGCATGAAATGGATGATTCAAATTTCCTACCATTTTACTAGTAAAGAAAGGAGAAAGCTGTTTCTTTGCCACAATCTCTAGAGCCAATATAAAATTATTATAATAAAAAATGTTTTCTTGACTGAGAATGAAAAGTTCTCTCTGCTTAGTGAGATTTATTTAAGAGTTTATTTTAAGCCTAAAAAATTAATTTGATTCTTTAAATGTGCCAAACATTCTTCTTTATTATTAGTTTAGTTTTTTAGATCATCAAATACTTAACAAATTTAAAGTGGCACTCTTTACCTTGCTTTAAAAAGAACTTAATCTATTTACTAAAGCTTAAACTAAGTCTTTATTATTATAACTCACTCCTAAAGTAATCTTGCTTTCATGATTTCCAGGAATGATTTCTATTTTCTGTCTTCTATCTAGAAAGATATATTTACTTTCCTTGTTCAAACTCTAGTTTAAATTATCTGTTCTACGTACTCATGTTTCTCCTCAAATCATATACCCCTTTACTAAATTACCTGATCAGTTCCACAGTCCTTTCATTAAAAAGTCCTGGAACTTGTGGCGTGGGATTGGGAGCTGAGTAGGGAAGAATGGGACCACTTCTGATGCATTTCTTGTCTTTTGTTATTTCAAATATAGTATATTGAAGATGAACAGCTTCCTGGGTTTATTAGCAAGCACAGTGATATTAACTGGCACACCTCATTTTCTGTCCATCTAGATTTATGCTGTCTGACATTGTAGCCAATAAATGAAACCTGGTTAAAATGTAAAAAATTTTAAATTTAATTCTTCAGTTGCACTAGCCACATTTCAAGTGCTTAATAACCATTTCCGTCTATTGGTTACTGTATCAGAGTGTGTGAATATTGAAATCTCCATCATTGTACAAAGTTCTGTCAGATAGTGCTGTTAGAGTCTGTACCTGTGTACATAGTCCTTTAATGAGATCATTCCACACGTGCCGTTTTCTTATATTTTCACTTTGTGTTATGACCGTATTTCATTATCAGTGAGTATTATTTTATCTAACCTCACTTTTAAAGGCTGTCAAGAATTATATAGAAATAGCTACTTTTTAAATCATTCACCCATGTTAGGCCATTTAGAAGATTTCTGATTTTTCACTATTTTATAAATAGTACCATAGAGAATGTCATTTTCATTAATCACATATGTAAACCCTAATTACTTTTAGGAAACTACTGGAAAGCTAAAGCTTCTTAATAAGAATCAAAGAAATATAGTTGCTGGAGAACTTGATTAGGGCTCTGGATTTAGCTTGTCACTTTCATCTATCCATATGTCATCTATAAATGAGCTAGGTTAACAAAAGTCATTTCCCACACCTTTCTTACTCCTTGCAAAAATTCATTGAAAATTCAGTGAAGCCTTGAGAATTTGATTCGTTTGCCTTTGTTTCCTTATTCTGTCTCTTGCCTCTTCCTGCCAGAGTACCTCCCTTTGGCATTTTTAACATCCATTTTCCATATAAAAACTGAATTGGGAATCTTTTAAACAAGTCTCAATGTAGCATTTTTGTAAAAGTAAAAAATTGGCAAAACTCCATACTTGTATCCTTCAAAAGGAGAAGAGCCAAAAATGATGGTAATTTTTCCCTTCTGAAATAATCCCTGCTGACACTGAGCACTATTATGTTGATGACTTGCCCACTGATTTCAGCTGCATTCAAGAAGGTTAGTGGTTTTGCATTTACCTGATAAAATTTGGGACTACTTTAGTAGGCTTTCTGGTTAATAATGTTAAATATATATATTTATATAGAGAGTTTATTTGTTCATTGTATTTTATTAGTTTCCAGAATGAGTGCCTTCATTCTCATTTAAGAAATACATCAAAGATTCTTAAATTAGAGGGGAAAAGGTCAAATAACAGTAACAAATAACAAAAGAATGACCGGAAAAGACCGCATACATCTTTTAAAGTGAGATAATTCTTTACTTAATGCTCAAGATTGTCTGTTAAGGAAATAATTATATACTTGCATTTACTTTTAGATTAAACATGGTCATTCAGATAATCTGTGGAGTTTATTGAAATGCATGGCTTAAGCTTGGGGTTGTATGAAAGTGGTATTTGAGACAAATGGCTCATGTAACCATTTGGCTCTCTCTTT